AGCCCTTCAAGCACATAGACTATAGAGCGGCTTTGAAATAGGGTGCCCAAAACTCCTGTGAGCCGCTATAGGTGATTCCATGTGTACTTATTTTCAAACGGTAAAAATATATTTTTACAATATATTTTGTGAAATCCCGTCAATTTATGTGCACCTATAGCGGCTTACCAGGTTTTCGAGCACCCTAGTGTGAAAATTTTTAGTTTTATCCCCCAAAAAGGACAATTTGATATAGTTTCTGCTTCGGACAATGCACCCTATTGTTGTTTAAGTATTCTTCTTGAATATCTTCAAGTTATATATGCATTTCTAATAAGGAAATGTGCTGTTATGAACATTTATTTCAGGAGTTTGTGAAGACAGAAAAAAATCTTTTCGGGACATGATACCAGTTTTTCAATGGCAAAGAATATTGGCGGAAAGAAAAAAAGCAAAAAAAAAAACAAAACATTTTGAGTAAATTTCTCTGATTTTGCCGAAAATGTGTGAAAACCCCAAATTTTCCCCAAAAGACTGGGTTCTGAAATTTTATGCCATTTTCAAGTGTTGACTGCTACAAATGTTGTAAGTAATGCTTGTTTCTTTATCAGAGAGTGTTGCCAGCTAGCAAATGAGCAAATTTTACCAAAAATTTGAGAAAAACCCAAATTTTCCCAAAAGAATCATGTTCTGAAATTTTATGCCATTTTCAAGTGTTGACTGCTACAAATGTTTACCAAAAATTTGAGAAAAACCCAAATTTTCCCAAAAGAATCATGTTCTGAAATTTTATGCCATTTTCAAGTGTTGACTGCTACAAATGTTATAAATAATGCTTGTTTCATTATCAGATAGTCTTGTCAGCTAGAAAAAGAGCAAAAAGAAAAATTTAGCCAAAAATGCTTGAAAACCCCAAATTTTCACAAAAATATCAGGTTCTTAAAAAAGAAAATTTTTCTGGCAATGTACCACTTTGAAGATATGGTACTATTTTGCAAAATCACCAAGTTTCATATATTTCTATGGAGGAATAGAGGAGTAATAATCATTCATTTGAAATATACCTGTTTTTGAAGGTGTTTAAGGTCATGAGAAGAAAAAGCCTATTCATTTTCAACGTTTTCCGATAATTACTGCCAGAGTTATGGCTCATGATCATATTGGAAAATTTTATGCCATTTTCAAGTGTTGACTGCTACAAATGTTATAAATAATGCTTGTTTCATTATCAGATAGTCTTGTCAGCTAGAAAAAGAGCAAAAAGAAAAATTTAGCCAAAAATGCTTGAAAACCCCAAATTTTCACAAAAATATCAGGTTCTTAAAAAAGAAAATTTTTCTGGCAATGTACCACTTTGAAGATATGGTACTATTTTGCAAAATCACCAAGTTTCATATATTTCTATGGAGGAATAGAGGAGTAATAATCATTCATTTGAAATATACCTGTTTTTGAAGGTGTTTAAGGTCATGAGAAGAAAAAGCCTATTCATTTTCAACGTTTTCCGATAATTACTGCCAGAGTTATGGCTCATGATCATATTGGATGCTCTAAGAGGCTAAAGTTAAATTCATACACAGTGTTTAAGGCTATGATGAGACAAAAAATCCTATTAATTTGTTTTTCCGCTCTATAGAGCCTTAAAGTTAATTTGAAATTTATACATAGTGTTTAAGGTCATGAGAGACGACAAAATGTGTTAGAACTAGAAGCCAAACAAATTCTAATTATTTCTGATAAATATTTAATGGGTTGTTACTCTTTTAATGTGTTGTTAATGTTTTCATTACTGACAAAAGAAAAATTATGCGACACCTCTTGTTGATTGCTTGGAAAACTTAGCTTCTCTATGTGTATGTTTTGTGTCCTGGCAACCTATCTTTTATAGAGTCTATATTAGATATTTAAGCCTAGGAATGAGCAAGTTAGAAGTTTTCATATCATAGATCATTTCTAGTCAGGGAATTTGAGATAATACTTTAAAGTTGACATCTGAGACCATTGCATGTGGGCATGCTAAATAGATGACATTTGAGCTGATCCACCATATGGAACACAAAGAGAATGCATTTGGTTGCTTCAAACTTTAAAAACAACAACCTGCAAAATAACTAGTCAATATATACCATTGCACGTTTACCAAAAATGCTTGGAGCTCGCCTGTCAACAAACCTGAAAGTATTCTTTTTGCGATGCAAGCTAGTTACATGATTTGAAACCTGGGATCCTTTCAGTCGTGGCATGAAGCAATGTAACAATCCCATGAAGAATTATTTGTGATATTCAAGTACTGGTAGTTCATATTGCTGTTGTCAGAATGTTGCATTCAATAACTTTAGTCATGGACCTTATAAATTATACTGTAGGCTCCATGGTCATGCTTTATTCAAAGTTACATGTCCTATATATTAAGTCTCTATGTCCAAAGGAAGCACTAGATACAAAAGGACAGCAGCACCCAATTTGTTTTGAAATGGTACATGTTCTTTTGTGTATATGCTTTCATTCAAGAAAAGAGTAATCAAAGTGGTATTTTAAATTATAAAATGATTACAATAGGTCTTAAGCTTGTTTGCAAAATAGTACTGGTACCAGAGTTATTGATATTTGTTGATATAGATCTTTAATCTGTTGCATTCTACAGAGGACATTTTGACCAATTTTCATCATATTTTAAGGAATTTTCATCTAATTAACCATGATCCATATCAATTTTTATACACCCACATTTTCATGTGGACATATATTGTCATCGCCCCTGTCCGGACACAATTTTTTTGGGGACACTCTACAGGTCACAATTTTGATCCGATTTTGATGAAACATAAAATATAGGTCTATCTCCCAAAGATCTTGGTTCCTTTCGATATTGGCATATATCGAACAATAACTTCATGGATTATGGCCCCTGATTGTATGAACAATCACGTTTTTAGCTTGTGGAAACTGTAGAGGTCACAATTTTCATCTGATTTTGATGCATGTTTATAACCCAAATATCTTGGTTCCTTTCTATATTTGCGCATATCGGATCGTAACTTTCTGAACTATGGACCCTGATTGTACGAAAAGTCGTGTTTTTAGCTTGTGGTCCCTCTAAAGGTCACAATTATTATCCGATTTAAAAAAACCGTTTGAATATATCACCGTTACACTGTAATGATGCTTAAATTCGAATTTCGTGAAAATCGGACTAAAACTGCCAGACAAAGGGGCCGCCCCTCGTACGCAAATAGTGTAAAAATATGGTATATCAAGGTTGTGGATCCTCTAATGATGAAACTTGAAATACATGTTTATAACCCAAAGATCTTGGTTCCTTTCAAAATTCACGCATATCGGATCGTAACTCCCTGAATTATGGCCCTTGATTGCACGAAAAATCACGTTTTTAGCTTGTGGTCACCCTAGAGGTCACAATTTTTATCTGATTTAAAAAAAAACGTTTGAATATTTCACCGCTACACCCTAATAATGGTTGAGTTCGAATTTCTTGATAATCGGACAAAAACTGCCGGACAAAATGGCCACCCATGGTACGCCCATGGTATAGTGTATTTATATAGTATATCATGGTTATGGTCCCTCTAGAAGCCACAATTTTGATCCGATTTTGATGAAACTTGAAATACATGTTTATAACCCAAAGATCTTGGTTCCTGTTGATATTCGCTCATATCAGATCGTAACTTCCATAATTCTGGCCCTTAATTGTATGAAAAATCGCGTTTTTAGCTAGTGGTCCCTCTAGAGGTCACAATTTTTATCCGATTGAAAACAAAACGTGAATATTTCACCGTTACACCCTAATGACGGCCAAGTTAAGATTTCGTAAAAATCGGACCAAAACTGTTGGACAAATTGGCCGCCATTTGTATGCAAATAGTGTAAATATAGTATGTCAAGGTTGTTGATCCGATTTTGATGAAACTTGAAATGTATCTTTATAACCGAAAGATCTTGGTTTCTGTTGATATTCGCGCATATCGGATCGTAACTAACTGAATTATGGTCCTTGATTGTTCGAAAAATCGCTTTTTGCTTGTTCTCTATCCATCTCTTGCAAAATGTGGGCGTATCCTGCCTTGTCCACAGCCTTTCAAATGGGTTCTTCTGTCAATCTGTTGGTCTATTTGTCACAATTTTTGTGACACAATAACTCTGCTTCTGTTATCTATTTATTTTGGGATTGAGGCCGGGGGCCATTGCCTTATTGTTGGCTTCTTTGTTTTAAAAGGTTATTTCCTCCAATTGATATGATGTAGCATCCAAACTTTAATCACTTGATAAGAGTACACTTCTTAACTCACCACATTTTCTAGGTATATTTCATGTTCAGGTGATGTTATGCCCTATACATTTTAAACATTTTTATAAATCTAGTTAAGTGTTATTGCCCCTGACTAATACGTTTGTTGATTAAAACTTTGTGCCAACATTGGAACTCACTGAAAAGTTATGTTGACATTTGATGATTCCATTTTCCAAGTTGTAATAAGTAGTATGTCATATGGATTACCGTATTGATCAATTACTACCCTTATTTTAAAGTCAAGATCCAACATTTTAGCTAAAGCAAATTGCTAAGAGTTTATATACACCGAGTGGATTGGTATTTGAAGTAAATTCTGATATTAATCACATGGTAATGGCACTTTAACATTCAATTGCTAACTGTTACTGTAATGTGCTAATTATAATCAATGTCATCATGCCTTTCATTGTAATATTCTCTTGCAGAGTTTGTTTACGACATGGTATAAGTGAGTGAATTGAGATAATGATTTGACATAGCTAGATTTATATTGTAAACTGTTATACTGAAGTGTTGATATGTGTTAATTAGTATTCAACATAATAAAATAAATTACTGTATACATAGATAGTAGCTTAACGGGGTAATTAATTATGCATGCAACAAATGTTGATCACAACTATATTCATTGTGCTTAAACAACAGTATTGATCAGATTGTAACTTGAATATTCCACTGGAGCAATTTTCATCACTATGTGAATATAGTCTGCTATTTCCATCTGTGAGAAGAAACTACATAATTTTATGTCATAGAGAAAAAGACATTAGATTTAGAGATTGCTGCCGGCCAAGTAGGACGTGATTGAATTTGTTGTAAACGATTTCCATCTCCGCAATTTTAGAACACGATTTATCTAGTTTTCTTTTGTGTTAGATATCGGAATTACCTGTAGGCAAATACTAAAGGAATCCTGACTTTGTGTTAAACATTTTTTCTGAATTGCAACCAGTTTTCTGATTGTGTGAATTAAATTCCTTTTGTTTACTACTGTAGGAATTGGAGGCTATGCGAGCAGACGGACTTGTACAGGTACCAGTAGTAATAAAATAATTGTCATATAAGTGTGCTTTAACCATTGTTTTGTGTTGTAATAGATAAGATACAAATATTTGATGTTTTGCTTTCTCCTATCTCCAAAATTTAAAATTCTTTTTTAGAATGATTGATATAATATAATAGTTATTTAGTGCACTTTTAAATAAAAAACTGAATGCAAAAGTGTCCGATTAGTGTAAAAATATGTTGACTTTAATTCAGAGAGCATGTACCAAAATAACTTGAATTCCATTGACCAATAATGATATAAGTAGTGTTTTGAAAAAAATATATACTGGAATTCAGAAGTTCTGAACATTGTTAGTATAATAATAATGAATATAAGCATGAAATAAGATTTTACAAAGTTAAATTATTGAAATTGTAATTTTGAAATATCAATACGACAGGTATTGTTCAATTATGACTGAAGTCTTGATTCCCATAGTTATCTAATTTAATGAATGTTGTATCTTTTTGATGGTAGTGTTAACAACAGAAATTATGGTGTAGATTTTGACAAGATTTCTTTATTTATCTTAACTCATATCTACTATAGTTTTACTAAATGCCTTTTATTTAGAATTATTCAGTGTATTCGTGAGTGTTGTTGAGTTATAAAAATGAAATGTACTGACAACCTGTCAGATTGAACAAGTTACCTCCCTTTCATGTGTTTCCTTTACCAGTTCAATGCTGCTAACAACTTGAAGATGGTACCTTTGATTTGAAAGGTAATAGGCACTAGATATCATAAGAGAATCAATAAATTAAATTTGCAAATGTGCCAAAAAAATTTGTGCAACTGGATTTCACATGATAGTGGAGATTACTCCTTCTGATTTGCAATTCTGTGTGGTAATCGACAAGACTACATAGATTATTATAGACTGAATGATTGAGTCAAGTAACACGAGGGATCTCATGGCTAAGTGGGTAAGACGCTAGCTCGCTAGCCTGTAGGTCGGGTGTTCGATCCCTGCATTGGCCGAGAAAGTTCATTCAGATTTTCCAGCGTGGTTTCCCCTTGTCGGTGATACAGGACGGAGGGCCTGACAAGGACAGCTGTCTAGTCCTTCGGATGAGATGAAAAACCAAGGTCCCGTGTATATACTGGAATGCACGTAAAAGATCCCCTGGCAGTTGGAATCCGATATAAGAGTAGGCGATAGTGCCGCTGCCCGGGCAAAATTTCCCTCATAGCACACTGTATGGCATATGCCCGTCTTCATTAACCCAGTATAGGAGCAGAACAGTAGGACGTTAAATTTCATTTCATTTCATGTCAAGTAACACATTGTCAGTCTATTAAATGTACAGCTATAGTCCCCTTACATGTACATTTGTCTAGTGTAATAGAAATTGTAAGTGTTCAAGATGTCAAATTTCCTTCTTTGAATAGATATTGAAAATTGAGGTACATGTAGGGCTGTACAATATTCTCGATATAGTCATTTATCGCGATATGGTATTTTCAGACCCAACTACGATATCATGTGGCCAAAAATCGTCGATATAGTGGTTTATCGAATATCGCCAAAAACTTCAAATATCGAAAAAAATTATCATAAAAATAGATAATAAATACACTATACAGCAGTGGAAATTAGCCGACTGCAATAAACTATAATAAAACTAATGTTTTGAGAATCGTTAAATGTCGAAAACACTTGCGCAGTGTCCGCAGCCGTTTTTCACCGCATCGTGTATGCGTTACTTTTACTTTGTTTTTAGTCGACAATAAATTGTCAGTTGTTACTACATGTAAAGCTTTGGCCTACTAAACGCCTGAAATTTCCCACTACCGCGGCTAATTACCAGGCTATAAATAGGTTGTCATATTTTTAAAAAATGAATCTTTTTATAAAACTCTACGAAACCTAATTTCTGAAAGCAAGAATAAAACGATCTATAAATAGATTACTGTCCCTGTTAGGCCAGGAATACCGCAGCCAATCAAATGCTTGAATGGAAAATAGTCCGGATCTTACAATACAAGACTTGAAGACCGCATCTACTTACTTCCGCTGCATGTGATATTTGAGGATTTTCTTAAACAAGGTCACAAGCAGACGCCTTTTAAACATTGTATTTAATTTTTATCCAAAAAGCATGTTGTTTTGTTCATTTTAATAAATCTATATTATAAAAAAAGCAAAGTTTAAAGTGTATGAATAAAGCAATTATTACCCACAATTCTTACTCACACTAGTCGGGTTTAATGCATTTATATTTAATTTATTTAAAATAGCAAAGTGACATTATTATTAAATATCGCGATATTTAACAATATCGTTGAAAAAAATGCCAATATCGATATCGCTCCTTTTTGCAATATCGTACAGCCCTAGGTACATGTAGCAAACCATTTCTGTTTTAGTCTTATTAAATGTATGATGTGCTTTCCATCCATTTTTATACGCCCACATTGAAATGTGGTCGTATATTGTTGTCGGTCCGTCCGTCGGTCCGGTGTACACATTGTGGACGCTCTAGAGGCTAAAGTTAATTGTCCCCCGCCTTTCGAAGAAAGCAGGGGACTATTAAAATGGGTTCGTCCGTCTGTCTGTCCGTCCGTCTGTCTGTCCGTCACACTTTTTGGGACACAATAACTCTCTTCCTAATTGAGCTAGAATGTTCAAACATGTCCGTCTGTCTGTCCGTCACACTTTTTGGGACACAATAACTCTCTTCCTAATTGAGCTAGAATGTTCAAACTTGGTGTATGTGTTTATTAGGTCAATGCCTTGATGGAGTTCGAAGATGAGCATTTTCCGCTTAGGGTAAGCAGAGATAAGCAATTTGATTGGTTGATGCTTTGGGACATGATAACTCTCTTCCTAATTGGGCTAGAATGTTCAAACTTGGTGTATGTGTTGATTAGGTCAATGCCTTGATGGAGTTCGAAGATGAGCATTTTCCGCTTAGGGTAAGCAGAGATAAGCAATTTGATTGGTTGATGCTTTGGGACACGATAACTTTTAATTGAGCTAGAATGTTCAAACTTGGTGTATGTGTTTATTAGGTCAATGCCTTGATGGAGTTCGAAGATGAGCATTTTCCGCTTAGGGTAAGCAGAGATAAGCAATTTGATTGGTTGATACTTTGGGGCACGATAACTCTCTTCCTAATTGAGCTAGAATGTTCAAACTTGGTGTATGTGTTGATTAGGTCAATGCCTTGATGGAGTTCGAAGATGAACATTTTCCGCTTAGGGTAAGCAGAGATAAGCAATTTGATTGGTTGATGCTTTGGGACACGATAACTTTAGTTCTAATTAAGTGAGATTGATGAAACTTGGTGTATAGATTTATTATATGAATACCTTAACCAAGTTCGATAATGAACATTTTTTGCTGAGGGTAAGCAGAGTGATAAGCAATTTGATTGGTAGAAACTTTGGAACACAATAACTCTCCTTCTAATTGAGGTAGAATGTTCAAACTTGGCATAGGTGTCTATTAGGTGAATGTTTAAACTTGATGTATATGTAGATGTTCATTAGGTGAATGTCTTGACTGAGTTCAATAATTAACATTTCGAGCTGAAGCTAAGCAGAGCTAATCGATTTCATTTGTCGATGGTTTGGGACAAGATAATCTTGATTCTATCTGATAGAGAGTGATGAAACTTAGTGAAAAAAATAAATGTGCGATTAATTAATATGTGTCATCTATTTATTTTGCAATTTCGGCGGGGGACATCAGCCTCACTGTTGGCTTGTATCTGATTGACTTTAAATTCATACACAGTGTTTAAGGTCATGAGACGAAGAGGACTATTGAATTTCAGCCATTTCCGATAATTACTGCCATAGTTATTCCCCTTGATCACTTCAAAATATCTTGTGGATGGTCTAGAGGCCAAAGTTAATAATATCCTATTGACTTTAAATTTATACATAGTGTTTAAGGTCATGAGACGAAGAAGCCTATTGATTTTCAGCAATTTCCGATAATTACTGCCAGAGTTATGGCTCTTGATCACTTAAAAAAATCTTGTGGACGCTCTAGAGGCTAAAGTTAATATCCGATTGACTTTAAATTTATACACAGTGTTTAAGGTCATGAGACGAAGAAGCCTATTGATTTTAAATTTATACACAGTGTTTAAGGTCATGAAAAGAAGAAGCCTATTGATTTTCAGCAATTTCCGATAATTACTGCCAGAGTTATGGCCCTTGATCGCTTCAAAATATCCGATTGACTTTAAATTTATACACAGTGTTTAAGGTCTTTATTATACTGCCTGATTGTTAATGCGGTTGTATATTGCCATCATCTGTGTATATGTACTAAGTCTTTTGTATGTCCTGTTGTTCAAATTGCTTGTTAGCGCTCTACTGGCCACAGTATTTATGGGAAGGAGGATCCTATTGATTTTCAACAATTTCAAATTATCATTAATAGAGTTGTGCTCATTGCTATAAAATACTTTCGGTGTGATACAGGAAATAACTTTGAATTGATGTGATGTTCATATGTCGAGAGGAAGAACTGTATTAACTTTCGCTTCCATATTAATGATGACTTATTACATACCAGTAGTTATGCTCATTTGTTGGAAATCTTGATTGTACTGCACTTTGTCAGTCTTAATTCCTGTTATTTTTGTTAACCTTTTAGCGACCTGTATTATTATTACTCAATTTTAATAGAAATAAATATCTACATGAATGATATGGAAAGAAGTAATCCTGTTCATTCTCAACGAATTATGATGATCACTCTCGAATGATGCCCATTTGTTATAAAATCCTCAAGTCAGAGTGCCATTTGTATGGAATGTTTATCTGATAGGCAGGAAGAACCTTTTTTCTGCAATGATTTTTGGCGATATTTGGGTTCCAAATTGGCTCGGAACGGAACCTCATTGATTTTCATTGGATCTGAATATGTGACATCAGATTGTGAAATCTTCAACTTACACATTAAATATAGAAAGTAAACATGATGTTATTGTTGTAAAAAATTACACTGTAAATTACATACATG